TTTCAAAAAATTGAGATGGTGTCCATGTAATTAGACCAATCTACATGAGTGTCAATATTTATATATATATATATTATCGTAAATTAAGGGAGTAAGTGGACCACTCTATAAATTTTCAAGAACTTAGGGGGGGGGGGGCAATATAATAAACTAATTGTAATTAGGAATCAATAAAAATGCATATAGAGCTTTCCGCCCTCTGCCTGAAAATAATGAGAAAAATTCAACAGCCTCCATACAACCTTCAGTGTTAAGATGGACAAACCGAGGAGTTAAGTCTATGGTGGAAAAAAGCATGAAGGGGACAAACTTTTAGATTCTTTAAAAAATCTAAAAGCGCACACACTCATATTATTTGAGAATATTTGTGAATGCTATTGTACATTGGTCATGACCCACCGGAAAAAGGCATGCTTTTTGTAAAGTCAAAGAAATTCTATCCATATGAAATTGAGTAATTCGGACTTATTCGAATGACCGGATTAACTTCTCAATGTTCAATAAATTAGGTTAATTATGTAAAATTAACAACAACAAACCATTTTGAACTCAAACATATATATTTGGATCGTAAACTGAACTATAGTTTTTCAATTGAATCGGTCAAATTAATCGATAGGGTTAGGTCTGGGCGTAGCCTATTTAGGTGAATAGATCAAAAGGAATCTCTAGATTGAAAGTGACCATGACCAAAGTGAAAAGACATGCTTTTCGTTGGCACTTTAGCCTTCCATATCATCAATCAAGGGAGAAAAACTAAAAAAGAAGGATCATCACCAATCAAAGAATGATTTTCACGAGAAAACCCCCGAAGACTCGAGCACACATCTTTTTTTATCAAGAGACTCAAAATTTATATGACATCATTAAGCAAGGAAAGAAGTGATACCAAGTCAATAGTGATGTAGACTGTATTAGTTCAGATACCAATTGATGTAAATCGCAATAGGTTAAGAAGGGAAAGAATTAAGTGATGATAAATAAAAGGAGAAGACATCGGGAATAGCAAAGTAATTCTCATTAAGTTTCAACAAAAAGTATTCAATGGGACAAGACATCGATGACAAAAGAATAATAATAACGCCTAGGTGCTGAAAATAATTAAGTACCAATTCAAGTGAAATCTTGATAGGAGGAACAAAAGTCAACTATCTCAGAAGAAAAAAACTTAAGAATAAAGTTAGATTGATTTGAAGTAGGAGATACAAAACAATCATCAAAAAATTTTGAAATAGGTAACGCAATATGCTCGACGGCATATATAGGTGTGGACTCAATAGCAGGGGCGGAGCCAGAAATTGTCCAGGGTGGTCACTTTACTGAAAAAATTTAATTTTTTTTCTTCTAATTAATAAAAATAAAATAATATATTCAAATTTACTATATTGTATTCGATACTTAAAAATTCATAAAATATGAAAAGGGTGAAACTTTGATAAAAATAGTATACATAAATAAAAACAAACAAAAAAGAGCGACTAATTATACCCCTTCATAACAAGTGAAGCAAACTGCATAAAAGATACTATAATATTTTTCCATATATATGATCAAACTATTAGTCATTGATCACTCATTTAATTAAGCAACTTAGTTGCCATAATCTCTCTAGTTTTTTTTTTTTTAATTGGAATCTCTAGAGCTTAAAAAAAAATGAGTTTGACATATCAAAAACTTACATAGATGTATCCCTAAAGTGTCCAAAATGTGTCAAAAAATTCATAATTATTTAAGTACGAGGACTATACTAATTGATAGAACAAAAAATGATAGACTGAGCATACTTAAATATACTTCAAATTATTTGAAATATACATAAGTAATATTTAAAAAAAAAATTGAGGGTGGGCACGTGCCCCCCTGGTCCTCAAGTAGCTCCGCCCTTGCTCAATAGACTTTTCAGCAAGTTCCATTACAAGTGGTGACTCAACATTTAACTCCGGTAAAGGCTCAAATTGCATTAAAGTCAACCTAACCCCATTAAAATTGATAGCTTTCTTCTATCCATCTAACCTCTTTCCTACCCTTTCAAACACCAGATCCCAAAAAGCCAAAGATAATGAAGTCCCACCCAATGGAAGCCCAAGATACACAAGAGGCCATTCTCCTACTGAACACCCTAAAGTATTAGCCAGCCTATTAACTTTCTCTACATTGGAATTTAAGCCCACAATTAAACTCTTTTTTCCATATCGACTTTCAATCCTAAAACAAGTTTGAACCCATCTACAATGTTCCTAAAGTTAAGAAACTTTTCCACCTCTCTCAAAAAAAAAGAATATGGTATGATATACAAATTGTAAGTGTGACACCGAATCATCTTTCTTCCAATGACAAATCCTTCCACAAGACCACACATTTCTACTCTCTTAAGTAATCTACTCAAACTATCAACCACCAAAGTGAAAAGAAAAGGCAAAAAGGGGTCACCTTGTCGAAGTCCCTTACAAGCTTTAAACCTTCCTCTTGGTTTACTATTAAGCATGAACAAAAAATTTGTTGATTGCAAACACCCACTAATCTAGAAAATTTCAATCCATGTGGTCGTAAGTCTTCTCAAAATCAATTTTAAACACTAATCTTCCACCCCTCTAGATCTATAATCCTCCACCACCTCATTAGCTATAAGGCAACATGTAAAATTTGTCTTCCTCTAACAAATGCACCCTCATTAATCGAAATGGTCTCATGAGTCTCTCTCAATCTCATAGACAACACTTCTGCAATAATCTTATGAAGGCTTCACACCAAACTAATCGGCCTAAAGCCTTTCCATTTCAAAGATTTTTCTTTTTTTGATATAAGACAAATACATGTAGCATTAGTAACTACATTAACCACACCATTATGAAAAAATTCCACTAACACATTCATCAAATCCTCTTTAATGACTTCCTAGCAATCGTGGTAAATGGTCATAGTGAAACAGTTCGTACCCAGGACTTATCTTTAGTATACTAAAAAATAGTTTTCCTAACTTCATCCTCTTCAAATGGTCTTTCCAACCAAATTGTTTTCCTACCATCAATGGGACTTTAGTACAATTTGGCAAAGAACTCAATAATCTCATTCTCAATTCTTCTTTTCTCTTTAATAATTTCTCCACTATCTAATTCCAACTTGTCGATAAATTTTATTTTCCTTCTTCTATTGGCTACTTTATGAAAAAATTTTGAACTATTATCACCTTCTTTTATCCATTTCACTCTTGCTTTGTCTCCAACTTATTTCCTCCTTAAAGACCAACTTCTCAAATTTATTTCTTAATTCCTATCTTTCATTCCTCATTCTCATTCAACGTCTCATTATCTTACCTTATCAACTTCCTCAATCCATTTTAAGGTCGAACTCTTAATAACTATAATATCCCCAAAAACTTCTCTATTCCATAGCTTCACCCTATGTTTCACAAAAATCAACCTCCTCCCACTCAACCGAAAAAAGAAACCTACCCAATCCAGTGTATTTAAGGCGTAAACCAAACCGATCACTGAAGGCCTAGGTGAGAATTAACGTGAACAATTTAAAAACAAGCAAATATTCCAGCAAAAGCAGAAAAACCATCACAAAAAAAAAAAAAAATAGATACTAGCTGCCAGCAGAAATAAAAGTAGCACCACAACAAAAAAAAGACACAGAGTTCAGTAAAAGAAGCAGAGGAAGAGGAGGAGAAGAACAAAAAAATCAGAAGAAGAAAGGGGGAAACAATAGAAGAAGAGGAGAAGAACCGAAAAAATCAGAAGAAGAAAAAGGAGAAGAAGAATCAGAAAATCAGAAGAAGAGAAAATACCTTCGGAGTGTGGAGCGGATACGAGGAACTCCTAGAAAACTTCAGTTGGGGCCTCGTTTATTCCTCGTTGTCTGGCTCTCCTATTACTACCTTTTTTGTAATTCGCTTTGTTTGTACTGTTCTAAGCAACTTGAGCTCGTCTAGACATGTTTTTCAAAACATTGATCCAACCAATTACAAGTTGGGTTTTCTTTAAAACTAGACCAAGTAAAAGAACCATTAAATAAATGGGAGCCTTTTAAATGGGTCCCCCTAATGAAAATATAAAAATCGTTCATATTCCTTGTCATCCTCCCGCCACGCAATTCTTTAGAGAATATCTAAACACTTTAAATTCACCAGCACACACCACCTAGGACTATAGAGACCAAACTACCGCACCAATTCTTCTCATAATAATTCTCACCCGAGGCTGTTTGGTCCATACACATCGGTTTACCACCACTTGACACCATCTCTAACTTTTGACATAATTGACAATTTAAATTCTCCCTCAATTGACTCCTCTACCATCACTGTTCTCTTATCCCACATGACAATAATATCCCCCAATCTCCCAATAAGAGGTAAAAAAACTTAAATTAATGAACCGGGAACCCCACACACTCTTCACTAGCCTTCTTTCCTCACATTCCTTCTTACATTCTTGCCAAAATGGACTCAACTCAACAAAGCCTTAATCGCACCCATTTAGGGTCAGCTACATAAATCATATTTCTCCGTTGCACTTTATCAAAGGTCATATGTTGTGTTAGACCATAAGCTATCATATCTTTTTCTACTATTTCGTTCACAGATATTTTAGGTCTACCTCTACCTATCGCATAACCAACGATATGTATTGAATTACCACATCTAGCCTTTCGTCTAACATTATTTTTCATTGACCCCAATCTCTTAATATTCCAATTTATTATCTGCATTTCAAACAATCTCCACCCTCCTTCCTCCTAGAATCTCCCCCTCATAATTATTCTCGACTGCAAATTCCTAAGTTCCCAACATCTCCCATCCGTCCTAACAAATTTTCCTTTTCCTTTTCCTTTCTTTTGAAATTTTCTTTTTTTTTAGGGACCAAAGAAACATTCATGTCCTCTAAAAATTTAGTAAGAAAATACCCAACTTTCCTCATTAAACAATAAGTACATATCATCAATCTTTGACTAATTACCTTTCCAGATCTCAGGAATTAGAAGGGCCCCAATGTTTCTAGCACAACTAGCATCCTCAGCATCAACAACCAAAGGTTCCCTAGCACCAAGACTTACCTATGGCACTCTGGTTCTCAATACCAAAACCCAAATTATCTAAGCTAATCTTTTGTTCCTCTATTAAGGTAGAAGTCCTCATTCATGAAATAGGAAGAGTGCAGTGCTTTTCATTTGTGCAAGAGTGTGCATTAGACATTAGTACAATAGCAATACATACCTTTGGATGCTCCCCAAGAAAATAACCACCATTGGTTTGCTAAAACAAATCAGCGATTTCATATTTCTATATTTGCCGCAGTTGATTGGTTCTCACCTTACTATCACTGTCCAAGCTATCTTGGGTTCATCACACCTATCAGACGTTTGAGCCAAGTTACAAACATCACCATTGAATGCCTTTTTCTCTAGCTCTTCAAACTCCCTCATGTTGTCACACAGAAGGTCAAAACCATCACCAATCTTTGAATTCATCATTAGCAACGTTGATTTTGCGATTTCAAAAGTTTCAACTCAACTCTGACTGCCATCGTCTCAAATTCCAAACCATGCTCCTCATTCTCTCCCTCAGATCTATTAAGGCAAACCCTACAATGTCGAGAATATAAAATCAGACGCTATTTTGGATATGGATCATATCTCAAACTCGGGGCACTTTTGTACACGAAATTGGATTTAAGTTTAGTCCTAAAGGCCACCCAATTAGCTTCATTGGAGTCCACTTTGCAAGGAGAAACAATGCCCTTAAAAGGCCCATGCCTTTTGCCATAAATAGTACTACTACAATATACATCACTTCACATTGAATTCAAATAGATATAGCAATTAACTTATGTAAGTCAAAGCATGCAACAATATGATGTTTCTACATAGAAGAAAAAACTAAAATGAAGATGGATAACATGAGATTATCCTGAAGAAAACACAGTAAGCCAAGAAGTCAAATTGTGTTATAACATACAAAAATTAGGAGACTAGAGCCAGACCCAAGTATAAATTGATGGAACCAAAGTGGTTTGATATATAACTGTCCTAGGATTATTCCTACAATGTATGGTAGTACATATAAGTCGTTGGCCAGGGGTAGAATAAGCCTAACAATGTTGTGGCTTTGACTATGAGTGCAACCACTTTGAACAAATGAAAATGATACCCCAGACCCTTTTTGCTCGGCAATGTATCCCGGGAGGTCTGCAGTAATGCAGAAGGTTACATATGTATTCGGAGATCACACTACGTAAAGACCCAATTTAATTTAAAGTATCAAAAATAGTATTAAATAACAAAACTAGATGAGTCCATAAATACATGCATTTGTTTCTTTAAAGAAAGAAAGGGAGGCTAAGTCAATGAAGACGTACCGACAATCATGGCGTAGGTTACGAACCAAAAGACTCGTTGGAGCATCTCTACTACGACCACCGTAGCGACCCCTAGGGCTAGGGCTTCTTCCTCTTCTGCCGTAACCCCTTGGTGGTGAAGGACTGTAACTCCTGCCCCTCATTCTGCACCAAAAATTACCAGATATTTGTCCAATTCTGAAAGAGAAACCCAAGAAAAATACAATAAAATTGTACAAATTCTACTGTATCTGTGTCAATAAATTCGACTACAGCCACAACAAAAGAACACATAAATTGAGAGAAAGTGGGGGGGG